ATTAGTATGTTTTAGTCTTCATTCGCAGTATAAGTTGCGAATGGGGACTAGAATTTGGTTTGTGTTTGCTCATGCTCAATAGAGGAGAGTCTGATTAGTTGGAGTTGATTATAATTGGTATTAAGCACTTAGGGAAGACTGTCATCTTAAAAAGGTGTTGTGTTAAATACGATATACAGAACATCTCTAGATTAACTTCTTTACTCTGTAGTCTGTAGTGTCCCACTGCCTCTTCTTAGCATTTGGCTACCAAATGCATGCTAAGAGCATACTCATGATCCTACGATGGTCTTTATTTTGGAGATCTCAACTTCCAAGTGAGAATCACTTGGCATATAAGATTGTATTATTTACAACCGTTGCGATTTTGTCATTTCATCTATGCTTTGTTTTGTCAAGCAAATCTTCTGCTTGTATCTTTGGCTCTTCTATGCTTAAATTAAAGTCTTGTCCTTCTTTTCTTTTGTTCATTCTATTCCTGGCCTGAGCTTCAAAATGCTTCCTGTGTGTTACCTTTTGGCAATTGAACCTCTATTTTGATTTATTTGGGACAACCATTTCTAATGTTTGGGAATTTATTCTAAGGAGAAGCATATGAGAGGTCAATTACATAAACACGTGATTTGGTTGAAATGTGTTTCTATCAGTCAACTTGCTTCAACAAGCTGAATTTCTCTGATCGTGTTAGCTACATATAAGTTTAAATCCAGCTATTGAAGTTGACATAACCGATGAGCTGAAATATAAAAGGATGGAATAGCTCATTGCCAGTTTATAAAAATTCTTGTAAGATGTACCTAATCTAGTACATATATCATATTTAATTTTTTTACTTCTACTTTTTCCTAGTTCTTGAATAAGAATCATATGTGCATCCTTTACATAAATTTCCTAATACATGAACAAAGAAAATTCACGTACCATAGAAATCAAAAGGTCTTCTCATTCAACACAAGTTTCAATTTTCCATATCATATGTGTCGGACTCCTTATGGAATAGGTTTCCTTAAAAATATATTTATATTTGGGTTATTACTCCTTATGGATGTAGATTTGTTGTGTATCTCAAAGAGACAAAGGGATTCTGAGGTAGTTTCGTGTATATCCCATGGAAACTAAAGGAATATCATTTCTACCACTCTACTCTACCAAAGGTGCTTGTTACAAATATCTGATGTATGGTTTGAATCAATCATCGATTTGATGAGATAGTCAAATAATATTTCGTTCATAAAAATCAGAATAACCACCATGCATATAAGTTTGAGAGGCGTGCTATTATTTTTAAAACTATACGTGAATGATACTCTTGATAAAATATGATATCTCAATGGTCCAAAAGGGTACACTGTTAGTATTAATTTAGAAGTGATTCAAAATTTAATTTTACATTTTGGGAAATGCTCCAAATGTGTTTCAACTCAGTAGATTGCGAAAAGATCTTATTAACAATTTTTGTACATGAAGAGGTTCTGTTGTGTTCTTCTTTTTTTTTTGGTTTCCCACCGGTGTTCGGTACCCGTATTAGAGCCCGACTATATCCGGATTCGCGCCGCGTAGGGCCCCTTTCGGGGGGAAGCGCTCCCTACCAAGGATTTTTCCATACCCAGGGCTCGAACCCGAAACCTCTGGTTAAGGGAAGAGCAGTCCCATCCACTGCACCACATCCTGTGTTGTGTTCTTCGCCAAGTCCAAACTTGTGGACTTGCCTTTAAATCGAAGACCAAGAGCCCAAGTCATACAAGAAATCGTAAAAATTGCACGGGACGCCTTATTTGGTCGCCCCCATTTAACCTATACCCATTTTTTTTTAAACTTTTAACTTATACCCACTTTTTAAACAACTTCAGCACCCTTTCTCCTCCTCCTCCTCCTCCTCCTCAAAGTTATATCCGCCTCTTCTTTCTCAAACTTCTCCTTCTCCCTTTTCTGCAAGAAATCTGTTACGGCTATAACATGTATTCACACAACGTCTTCAAGAAATTAATAATCATTTTTAGAAAGAAAAGTCTGAGATTGTACAGTGTGGTGGAGCTACTCAATCTTTTGAATATGTCATCTTAGGGATCATTACTGTTCTTGGTAGTCTGAGTCTTTGTTGTTTTCATTGCAAAGTGGAATGCTTTTCCTGTGTTGCTTCTCTTTTACTACATTGCACGCCATTACCCTTAATCGTTGTCATTCTCTTATTTTAAAGCTGTAACTGAACCTATAAACCAGACTTCGACTCCAACATATCATAAAGATAATACTTTGATCCTCATAAGGATTTCTTAATTGTTTTGTATTTTCGAATATCAGTTGCTTAGCAATAAAAATGGCTGAGCAAAGCCGAGTGTGAGTTAGACGAAATGAGGTTGTTGCATTTAAACTGGCGAACAAAAAACTTCAGCTCTAGAGCTGAAGTTCGACAGTTACTAAACAAAAACTTCAAGCTCTAGAGCTGAAGCTTACAAACAAAAACTTCAGCTCTAGACCTGAAGTTCGCCAGTTACAAACAAAAACTTCAGCTCTAGAGCTGAAGTTCGACAGTTAAAAAACAAAAACTTCAGCTCTAGAGCTGAAGCTTACAAACAAAAACTTCAACTCTAGAGCTGAAGTTCGCCAGTTACAAACAAAAACTTCAGCTCTAGAGCTGAAGTTCGACAGTTACAAAACAAAAACTTCAGCTCTAGAGCTGAACTTAGGGGTGTTCGTCGGTCGGTACGGTACGGTATTTAGACATTTCGGTTCGGTATTTTCGGTATTCGGTTTTTTAAAATCCTATACCAATACCGTACCTAATTAAATTCGGTATGGTTCGATTTTTCTCCTTTCGGTTTCGGTTTATTCGGTTCGGTAATTTTGGTTTATTCGGTTTGAATACCTAACTAGTGCATAGAGCCATAGACTATAATATTCTTAATTAAAGTACTCAAAAATACAAAACTGAAAATGTTTGTTGACAAAAAATTTGTCCAAAACTAACAAATATCGATCCAAATAGAGAAAAGTGTACATAAAAGAATATTTGATCATTAGAAATGTCTTGTTACTTGTTTAGAGTTAATTGATGAACTTAGAGAATAAAGGAAAGTAAAATTTAGATTTTTTATATTTATATTATAATTTATAATATATGTTTTGTGTAATATAATATATATTTCGGTACGGTATCGGTATTTCGGTTTTTTATTTTAAAAAACCAAATACCATACCTAATACCATTTTTTTGAAAAACTTAAACCAAATACCATACCAAATACCAAAATACCGTATACCAAATACCAAAATTTTCGGCTTCGGTACGGTAATTCGGTATTTACCAAATTATGCACAGCCCTAGCTGAACTTCAAGCCCGGCTACTAGAATGCTGAAGTTTTGCGTGATTGCCTTTGCTACTTCAACCCCGTATGCTGAAGTTATCACTACTAGAATTCCGGAAAAAAGCGACCAACGTTGGTCGCTTATTGGCCAAAAAGCGACCAACCACGCCTGGTCGATATTAAGCTGGTCCCTTTACCTTAGGGACCAAAGTTGGTCGCTAAATAGCGACCATCGTTGGTCTCCCAGGTAAAAGGACCAAATTTTCCGGGCAAAGCATATAGCGACCAACTTTGGTCGCTCAAATATTTTAGTATTATATATTTGGCGACCAAAGTTGGTCTCCAGATGTAAATAACGTTTTATTTTTATTTATTTTTAATCATATCAAGCGACCAACTTTGGTCGCTATATTAATAAATGTTATANATTAGATTGTAGATAAAAAGATAATGTTCCAACTTCAAACAAAAGGTAGGACCTGATGACTTGATCTTAAATGGACTAAAGATATCAATTCTTTGACAAAATAATTTTCAAATAAGAATCTGACATCTTTCTCAAGAAATATTGAATAAATTATATTTTCACGCTGCCTATTCTGGTTGTAAATATTGAAGTGGGCAAGCAAACTGAGTGCGAAAGAGTAGCTGATTTAAAAGTTTTTGATGTTTGGACATATATTTGAGGTACATGTTCTTTTTTTCTTTAATGTTTAGATGTTCATGTTGTTAGCAGAAAGAAAAACACATCATTGAATTGGATGAATTTCAAAATTACGACAGCAAACCAGGCCACAAGATAGTTTAGGCTCTTGTGCTCTAGCTTGACAAAAGAAAACATATTTTTTCTGCAGTATTTGTTAACTACTCGTGAGATAAATGTACATATTGAACATTCTTTACTTATACTTAATATTTGATTTTTCTTGTGAAAGAGCAAAGTAGGCCTTCAGTATCAAAAGTAAGATAGCTACTCGCAGACCAATTTGTTATATTCACTCTTTATTTTAAGATGTCGCTCTATTTTCTGTTTCATNAGGTCCTTAAATTACATGCACAGACGGCATAATAGCAGGCGAGGCCAGTTTAGATAGTACTGAAGCAATATTAGTGCATAAAACTTAAACATATACACAGCAGTAGTGTTAAGGATTGTGTACAGAATATGTGTACATGAGTTAACAGAATATGTGTACATTTGTTAATAAAATATGTGTACAAGAAAAGGATTAAGTTGACTTACATATAAGCCTATTTTAAGTTGCACCACACTCATTGAGGTTGAGCAGATATGTGCTAGCACTTATTGTTGAATCAGCCAAGGAAAGATTTCAATATGTTCTTTGACTCGTAACCAAAATGATACTTCAAGTTTATAAGCTTTAGCTGGGGGGAGTAAATCAGCGAGCTACTTTAAACTAACATGCAAGAAAACATATAATACGCTATGCTAGAACCTAATATGCAGCACCTTCTCCATTATGGTTTAATTCACAATAATTGCTTTACAAAAAACCTGATTGAAGTAACAGACATTACAGTTATCTAAGCCATATATTTTTTGATAACCGAACTGAACCATACATGGAAACACATGAAACCAAAAGGTTGTATTTCCAGAATGTGTTATTCTTTTAACTGACTCCGAAACACAGCTAACAAAAAGAAGAGCTTATTAACCAAAAAGTATATACCTTGTAGTCCACACGCGAGGCGATTAAAATTGCGCTCGGAGGAAAGGCCGTATGCTCTACCCTTATACACGCCTCCAACCACGTTCAACCATAATGAGAGAGTTTCTTCCTCCGATGGCATGATTGGTTGGCCTTGCTCATCGGTCGGATGACTCCTAGCGAGCTCTTCCACTGCTTCTTTATGCCGATTTTACATTAAAAGTGAAATTTAGTATATAAACAATCATTATAAACTCATCGACACCTTGTAAAAATTCATTTCTTAAACCCCGCCGATTAGGAAGATTCCTATCGTACATCCACATACGATGTTCCATCTACATATACAAACAACAAATTTATTATTCTTACTCATTTAATTTTATAACAATTACAACATAAGAAACATAGTTACTCTAAACTAAATAGAAGAGTGTTGATTGGACTTATCATATCATGGTTGTAAAGTAAAGGGAAAAAGGATATGAGGAGCTTGGAGAATAATCTGTTGTCCTTTCTGGAGCTTCTTGGGAGGAAGGTTACACGTGGATAGGAAGCCTGAAGATGGGTGACTATTGATCTTTGGACTCGCTATATCACATCTTTGTACTTTGCCATTGTCACCATGGCAACTGTTGGTAAGCTATTTCTTTTTACTGCAAAGTTCAAATTCTATTAGCTTATTGATTTTATCATTATAGTTCCATCTATTCATTTATACAAATGTCTAAAACAACACTCATGTTTTACTCCCTTCTTTACTTCGGATCTTCGTACTAATCTTTTAGATTCATCTTAAACACAAGTGTGTCTTTTGAATTTTTATCACTTCTTTGCTTATTGTTTCCCACTAGGAAAAGCAGAAATAAGAATTAGCAAAGGTAGTGTGGGAATCAGTGTTTTGGATAGCGTGCGGCGACAAATAGCGACGAGGGTCCGCTTCACTGAGGCGAGCAGCGAAGCGCTCGCCTTTTTGCTGTGAAGCGATAATTTATACAAAAAAATAAAATATTCTATATATAACTAAAAACTCAAATAGCAATAATATATTAATAAATATATCAATTTTCAAAAATTAGAAACTCAATATATAACTATAGTAGATTCATACTAACAAGCAACATCTATTCTTCTTCAAGCTAATCCCAAGCTATATCATTTCTTTTATTACCATCGGATGACGCCATTTCAATATTGTTTTATAGGAAAAAATTATCCAGTCAATGTGCGATTAATTCTAACTCTTTAACTGCAAAAAAGGAGGAAATTCCAGAGCAGAAAAAAGAAAAAAAAGAAGAGAAGAAGAACTGAAGAAGCTCTATGAACTGAAGAAAAGACAGAGCTTTTCTCAGACTAATCTGTTGAGTGCAGCAGCAGTGATAAAAAACAGAGCCAAAAAAAAAAAGAGAAGAAGAAGAAGAAGAAAAAGGAAGAAAAAACAGAGTAACACAGATTCTGTTATGTTGCAGCAGCAGCGATAAAAAACAGAGCCCAAAAGAAAGAAGAAGAAGAAGAAAAAGGAAGAAAAAACAGAGTAACACAGTGTTGCTCTGTTCTGTTGCAGCAGCGATTAAAAACAGAGCCCAAAACAAAAAGAAAGAAGAGAGAAGAAAGAAGAAAGAAAGAAGAAAGAAGGAAAAAAAAATTGGACAGAGTCACAGAACAGAAACTCGAAGAAAGAAGAAAAGAGATGAAGAGAAGCATACCTGATGAAGAAAGAAGAAAGGAAATCGCTGGTCTGCCGTAGGTTTGCTGTCGACTTGAAGGAGAAAGAGTAAAGAAATCGGGAGCCCTAATTTTTTGTTTTAACAGATCGCTGCTACTACCTTCTTCTTTTCTTTTTTGCAAAAAGCGTCGCTATAGCTCGCCTCACGCTACAAAGGCAGAGGCACTCGCCATTTTGAAAACGCTACGCCACACTGTAAAATAGCGATGGCAGCTCGCATCACCTCGCCTCACGCTATTAGCGCTGAGGCGAGCGCTATTTACAACACTGGTGGGAATAATGCAGTAAAATTTAGTGACTTTCAGTTTATTAGGAATTACAGTTGAGATTAGTGATTTTTGGTTTAAATGATTGTAGTAATTCTGTTAGCTAAGGGTATTAGTTACTTGATACAGAGGCTATAAATCACATGAAGCCATGCTTCAATAATTCTCTTCAGAATCAAATTCACATTTAGTTGGAGATATTGAAAATTCAGATGCAACAGGAAATAGTTGTACTTCAATTGCTAAGAACTTTGAATTATTAGCTCCTCCATAACCTACATAATTAAATATATAAAAGTTGCAATTTTGAGTGATACTACAAGGATTTTAACTCTTTGAATATTCGGCTCATCACCTTTGTATGATGTCCTAACATATTTTGCTGATCTCTCGGCGCTTCTGTTATTAGTTGTACTTCAATTTCTAAGAACTTTGAATTATTAGCTCCTCCATAACCTACATAATTAAATATATAAAAGTTGCAATTTTGAGTGATACTACAAGGATTTTAACTCTTTGAATATTCGGCTCATCACCTTTGTATGATGTCCTAACATATTTTGCTGATCTNTGCTTGTAGTAAAATACAACATGCTTGTGGCTATATTTTTCGTGCTCATAAACAAAGTAGAATTCGTGAATTTGCTCAACAATGTGCTAGTGCTGGCCTTCCATTTAGAAAAGTTCCAAAAGATGTTTGTACTAGGTGGAATTCTACTTATGAAATGCTTACAATTGCTTATGACTATCGGGTGCCCATTCAAAAGGTATTTAATATGCATAATGCTTTACCCTGTTGATTCAAATTGTTGATTCTGATTGGGATGAGATCAGAGAGCTTTACTAAATTTTTAGAAAAATTTTATTATGCTACAAAACAATTTTCTGGTATATATTATCCTACTATTACACAAATATTATGGTATATTTGTGGAATTTCTGTTGTATTTGGTAAGTATAAAAAAAATCCAACTTATGCACCAGCCATTAAAGAATTATATTTGTATTTGAGATTTGAAAGTTCTATTAATAAAATAAAAGGCTCTAAGCGATGAATTATTTTTATGAATTGTCTTAGTTACTTAATAGTTAATACTTTAAAATTATATTAAATAAATTATAACTCTATTATAAATTTATATTTACTAGAATATTTCATTACAAGTCTTTTGTTTTAATATTTTATAATTCTTTACTTAGTTTTCTAATTTTCGTTTTAACATACTAACATAGTAACATTTAAGTTTATTAAATAAGTCAAAAATCTAGCCGTTGCAAACTTTAAAAACATAGTAATTTTCAAAAAACTAGACGTTTTCTTATTAAAAAAAAATACACTTAAGGCCCACGAACCCGTCCCGTCCCATCCCATTCCGTCCCGTCCCGTCCCATCCCGTCCTATCCCGTTTGTTAGCGGGACGGGATGGGACGACCATTTCGTCCCGTTTGTCCCGTCCCGTTTCGTCCCGTCCCACCACCGTCCCGCTTAAATGTCGTCCCGTCCCGTCCCGTCCCGTTAATTTCGTCCCGTCCCGTCCCGTTGGACAGCCATAGCTAAGGGTATTAGTTACTTGATACAGAGGCTATAAATCACATGAAGCCATGCTTCAATAATTCTCTTCAGAATTATGGAGATATTGAAAATTCAGATGCAACAGGAAATAGTTGTACTTCAATTGCTAAGAACTTTGAATTATTAGCTCCTCCATAACCTACATAATTAAATATATAAAAGTTGCAATTTTGAGTGATACTACAAGGATTTTAACTCTTTGAATATTCGGCTCATCACCTTTGTATGATGTCCTAACATATTTTGCTGATCTCTCGGCGCTTCTGTTATATACAGCTCCAAGGTGGTAGTAGTGCTATTAGTTGAGAGACTTTGGAGTAGAAAGAGATTCACTTCTGTAGATTTTGGAACAATGAACCTGTTCTACCTCAGGACCTAATACATCAGGCAAAGTATGTAGACAGAGATTCTACCTAGGTAAAACATACCAACCAAAGTTTATAAACATAACGCTTAAAAATTTAATGCAACGATGAGATATGAACACAAATTCTATGACAAATTTTAAGTACATTAGGCTCATAGTTAAACTTGATTGGATGAAATCACAAAAAAGATGAAGCAACAATATGACATTTGGAACACTTCTCTTAGAGTCGTTGGTTCTGCTCCCAAAATTGAGAGAAAGAATCCAATAGCGACACGATTACGTGAAGTCATAAACACGCGACAAGAAGATGAACATTGCCCTAATTTTGAGATTTTGGGCAGAAATAATTCGAAAATAGAGAGAAAAAAACTCACCGAGATAAAGTTGCCTGAAGGTTACCGATGGCCGCTTAGAACATCGGCGAGAGCGCTGAGTAGAGACTTAGCCGCGTAAGGGAGTTAGCGCTTCCTCGAGAGTTCGCCGTCTGGGGAAGGAAAAGCGTAAACAGGGAGAAAGGTGTTAGTAGGATTTTGTTCTTTTGCCCAATTCTTTTCCCGCCTTCTAATTACAAGCTAATGTTAAAAAAACGGAAAAGGGCCTAAAATGCCCCTCTACTATATAAAATAGGACATCAAAGCCCTACGTTAAAAGTTGGCCCCTTAAATGCCCTTACCGTCTAAAAATGGGCTCAAAAATGCCCTTATTCACTAACGGTAGACATGTAATTCCACGTGGAATTACGTTTGCCTTATTAAAATGCCACATGGATTTAAAATGCCACATGGAATTAAAAATACCCCAACCCCTTATTATTTCCCTACCCCCTACCCCTGGGCCCACCCCCAATCTTAACTTAATATAGCCGTTAGGGTATTGTCAATTACCAGACCATTTCCTTCCCCATTTTCATCCCAAAATTTTAACTGCCCTCTAACTGAGAGGGCAGTTAGAGGTTATGAGTTGGACTTCTGATATAAGTCCAACTGCTGTGAAGTTGTTCAATGACTACAGGATAATTGCTAATGTGTGCAAAGTTGTATTCAATGGGGACCATGGATATGAAAATGGGGAAGGAAATGGTCTGGTAATTGACAATACCCTAACGGCTATATTAAGTTAAGATTGGAGGTGGGCCCGGGGGTAGGGGGTAGGGAAATAATAAGGGGTGGGGTATTTTTAATTCCATGTGGCATTTTAATAAGGCCAGATGTAATTCCACGTGGAATTACATGTCTACCGTTAGTGAATAAGGGCATTTTTGAGCCCATTTTTAGACGGTAAGGGCATTTAAGGGGCCAACTTTTAACGGAGGACTTTGATGTCCTATTTTCTTTAGTAGAGGGGCATTTTAGGCCCTTTTCCGTTAAAAAAGTAGTAATAACTTTTGAGTTTAGACACTTTAGACCAATCAATTTGGCGATTTATTCTGTTGCTCAAGTCAAATGCTGTTACCGACCTAGGATATGGCATTTCCACGTNGCTATTAGTTGAGAGACTTTTGGAGTAGAAAGAGATTCACTTCTGTAGATTTTGGCACAATGAACCTGTTCTACTCAGGACCTAATACATCAGGCAAAGTTATGTAGACAGAGATTCTACCTAGGTAAAACATACCAACCAAAGTTTATAAACATAACGCTTAAAAATTTAATGCAACGATGAGATATGAACACAAATTCTATGACAAATTTTAAGTACATTAGGCTCATAGTTAAACTTGATTGGATGAAATCACAAAAAAGATGAAGCAACAATACGACATTTGGAACACTTCTCTTAGAGTCGTTGGTTCTGCTCCCAAAATTGAGAGAAAGAATCCAATAGCAACACGATTACGTGAAGTCATAAACACGCGACAAGAAGATGAACACTGCCCTAATTTTGAGATTTTGGGCAGAAATAATTCTAAAATAGAGAGGAAAAAACTCACCGAGATAAAGTTACCTGAAGGTTACCGATGGCCGCTTAGAACATCGGCGAGAGCGCTGAGTAGAGAGTTAGCCGCGTAAGGGAGTTAGCGATTCCTCGAGAGTTCGCCATCTGGGGAAGGAAAAGCGTAAACAGGGAGAAAGGTGTTAGTAGGGTTTTGTTCTTTTGCCCAATTCCTTTTCCCGCCTTCTAATTACAAGCTAATGTTAAAAAAATAGTAATCACTTTTGAGTTTAGACACTTTAGACCAATCAATTTGGCGATTTATTCTGTTGCTCAAGTCAAATGTTGTTACCGACCTAGGAAATGGCATTTCCACGTGATAAGTGCTAGATTATGAGAATTTTTCAAATTTCACAACTTAAACAATAACATATGAAAATTTTAATTTATTTATTTTATATTTATAATCTCTCAAACCAGATGCTAACATATGCTTGAAGAAGAAAGGTCACCAGATCCCGTTAACTTCGTCAAAAATTCTGAATATATAAGTGTCACGACCCAAACCGAAGGGCCACGACGGGCACCCGGTGCCTCGCTCAACCGAGTACCAACGTAACATATCTTTCTTATCATACTATCATGGGTAAATGAGCTAGAAAACCCTTCATGAGATAACAAGAATAAAACATAAGGGAATACTTAACGTATGATGACCCAGCATGATATACAAACTTATACATGTGACATACGGGCCTATAAGGCCGACATGACCATTTGTAAACT